TGAGGATATTGATCATCAAAATTAAATTAATTATATGATTAACTATCATGTTTTATAGCGACCTGGGTGAGCCGCTTTCCGAGTGACGACAGTTTATCCGCCATTGAATTCAGTAAAAGTGGGGGTTCGGAGGCCTTAGCTCCCATTCAACGTGATAAATTTTCTCATTTTTTTACATACCTCTTAGATCATGATAAAGATGGTTACATCAATAGGAAGGACTTTTCGTTATTCTCCGAGGTACACTTTATTTTCAAAAATTTGATTTCCCATTCATTTTTATAAAATAAAGTATAATATTTAAAAATTCAGGTTTTTAAATTTTCTCTTCTATATTTCTATGAAAAAAAGAATAGGAGTCTTTAGTAAAATAACGCACTAGAAATGTTTTATTAATTAGAACCGCGATATATATGTATAAAAAAAATATTTCATTATTTTAAATTTATAATTACATATTTATACAATAAAATCTATAACTATCGAGGCATCTATACAAAAGAAATACTATTTTTTTTTCGGAAAGCGTTTGAGAAGATTTGCTGATTGGTCATGGAATGGTCCGGAGTACCTAAGGCTTCTGGAAATCGAAAACGGATTCGCCGGATTGGTCCTTCAGGATAAGAAAGGGCTCGCAGAAATGGATAAAAAAATCGATCTCGAGGCCTGGTTATCCTGGTGGGCGCAGATCGTTGCACCGCCGGACGGTGCTAGTTACAATGATATGCCGTTCTGGATCAAAGTTATGCCCAGAGTATTTTTCCTCGCCATAAATAGCTCCGGAAGTGGAATGATCAGCAAAAAAGAACTTGCGGCCTTTTATGGTTCCGTGGTCGGTTTGGACACCGACAGGATAAACAAATGTCTGGATATCGCGTACAATTCTATGACTTCGGTTAGTTAGATCTCTAAAATAATTTCGTGAAAAATTAAAATTGTAATTTAATGCGACTAAATTTTTATCTATATCAAATAGATACATTTAAAAAAATTTTTTTTATAACAAGAGCTTAAACAAATAAATATATTAGGATTTGGAGGATTAAGAAAAGTCATAACTTTAGGGAATAAACAGTTTTATACACAGTCTACAATAAGCTATTAATCTATAGATTCACCTTGCTTTATGATCCGCTTTATAACCTTGATTTAAAAAGCCATAAAGCTGTAAGAACTTGATCAATCACAGTTGAATACGAAAAAAATAATCGATTGTAATCAATTTCTTATAGCTTGTTGGTTTCTTAAAGCAAGATTTTGCAGGACCTAAACTAATAGCATCATTTATACAGAAAGACAATTATATATTTTTTTTATATTTCTTTATTAAATTCTTATTACTTCTTTATAAGAGAAATTAATCCTTAATCATTAAAATTTGTTAATAAAGATAGGAAAATTTCGTTTCAGAATGGAGACCATCCTCTTGGCTGGGCGCAATATCAGTTAATATTTGCCAATTTCTTGTTTGGCCGCGGCCCGTTTGGACCGGGAGAGCATTTCTTGGGCATGACGGATGCTTGCATGATTCGCGGTAATACCATACCATTCCCCATCGATTATTCCGCGATGAACACACCGCGGGACAAATTAGAAGTGTACACACCTCATTGCAAAAGCAACAGACGAAGTGTCGTAGTCTAACGATGAAGTCATCGTAACAGAGTTCCTCTTAATTAGTGATGCAAAGCATGCACAATCGTCCCTCGAGTGCCTAATACTGCATGTTGTGTGCCGTATATGTTTGATACAAATTTATTTTAGTTAATTAACTTGATAGAACTTGATAGAAAAAAATTGAAGGAAATTATATTGTCCATCTTGCACAAGTATATGTACAAAAAGCTCGATTAACTGTTAAGAACATAATTAGTGGTATCACCTAATACACTATACACTGCCATTTACCTTATGGGAACATCATCATGGAAAAAGCAGATCAAGTGGTTCAACAAAGCTATAACTTGCTACACGAGTTTAACATTTATATCCTTACAGCACAAAGTTGCATAAAAGTGGCATCAACACTGCTGCAATATCGCATGTTGTTCAACATTACATGTTGAAGCAATAGTGCAGAGATTTTGCAGCGATATTGCTACAAATTCTATGCTGTATGGGTAATGGAAGAAATTTTTTTCATCACAGACAAAAGAACGACACGTTATCTTAGTTAGCATGTTTTATTAATATAATGTATTATTAATAATTTTGATCTATGTTATATTGGGTTGATTTTTATAGAAAGTCATCTTTGCTATATTAACAGTGCTATTACAACAAATGTGATTACCTATAATCGCTATTTTATTTATACAATTTTGCTATTTTAACGTACAAAACTAGCTGTTTATATACGACTGAAAATTTGTTGTATCAGTGAAGTTGTTTTAACAAATCTGTTTTTCCGTGACGAATATTCCTCACACATAATGTACGTGTGTCTAATTTTAAAAATAGAACACAAAGAGGTTTAACTGCAGATTAAATTAAAAAAAAAACGCAATTAAGCACAAAGTGTTTAACTCCGCGAGTAGAAGTATAACGTATCGTTTAACGAAGTGAAAAAGAGATTATTACATATTTATAAAATTTATTTCAAGCGCTTGGCACTTAGTACTTCTTACACATCGAAGTCGCCGCGATACGTGGATGATATTACGTGAGATATGACTTTTGCTACAGCATATCGATCATCGACGCGTAACGGTGAGAGCGTTTCTATGTAAAACGATTATTGTTGTTTACGAATAATGAGAAAATAATAATGATATTTTTTTCGACTATCCATGTACTTATTAAATATTTATAAACAACTCTGTCTCCTTCTCGTTTCTGTTTCCTTCCTTCCCGATTCTACGTGTAATAATAAGGCATGTATGGATCAGGCAATTGGATCACATACTTTCGAACATCGATGTATCGTTCATTGTCCCCGATGACAATCGCATCATTGCGCATGACGGACCGACGACGGAGATTCAATAAATGCACCAATAGTGTATGACAATCGGATATTCTAGTACTTTGGTATTTTCCTTGTTTCTTTTTTTCTTTTTATATCGTCTTGGCCCATACTGCCAACACATATGACTCGATCTCGCATTCGTTCGTTCCCCTTTGAATCTTAAAGAGCCCGTTTTCTCCCCAGTTGTGTCCCCAGGAGTTTACGACCAGCTGAAAGAAAGATTAAATTTAAAGTATTTAGCATTTTAAATCGCAATAATTTGTAATACGTTCTAGTGAAAAAATGATTAGTCGATTCAGCTAATTATTCCTAGCGGAGTTAATTGTTTCTAATTACTTCAACTATCCAAAAGTTGGGATATTTGTACGATATTCATTGACGTATAAAAATGATACACATTTGTGCCACTTCTTTTCTTCTCTCTTTTACAAATGTTATCATGTGATATGGGTGTGAACATGTGATATCGTGTAAACTTACCCAATATTTGAGCGGTGGACCGCGATAAGACCTTTTCTCGCCCCAACCGATTATTCTCACCGAGTGATAACCGGAATCGTGTAATTCCGCACTTTGAGAGTGCCTATATACTCCGTTTTTGTAAACGAAGAAATCTTGATAGACTCTCATGGTAGCTGTAAAAAAAAGATGTTACTTTATATAATATTCTTTTAATATCGCGGAATATTACGCCTCCTTCAGCGGAATATAATGACTTCAAATATCAATACATCTGAAGGAGAATAAGAAAATCAAAATAACGTCATACTGACAGAATCTAAATAAAAAGACATAAATTATATCAATAATTGGCCGATATGATGTATTGATATTATTTTAACTTTCTTGTTCTCTTTGCGATTTTAGAATTTCGATTAATGGGTAACCGTCTAAATTATATAGCTACCTTGCACTGGTCCAGAGGTCAGAATCTCTTGCATAATGTCAGTCTCATTGCCCAGGCGATAAGCCGGCCCAACCTTGTACAATTCTGTTCTCAGCGGGTTTGGTGGCTTTCGACAACCGGCGGCCTGCAGGTTGCTTCTCTTACGTAGTTTGCATTGATCGTTCTTACCGGTCCAAGGATAACAGTCCTTATCTACCAGGCTATCACAGGAGGATTAATGATATTAAAGTCACGTGTTTAAGCAGAAATTTACTACCGTACATTATAGAATCGCCTTTTTAGACGTGACATAAAATAGTAATATATATTAAAGATTTCTTTAAATTAATTTATTGTTGAATCGAAATAATCTATATTTTATATATATTTTATATGTATATTTTTGTAGTTAATATATAAAATAATAAAATTTATAAAGATAATATTATATTATGGCTCAATAATAATAAATAAACATTAATAACAATAAGGACTACGAATCAGATTTCAATATATTTAAATTTTTGAACAAACTTTCGACTTTATCGTCAGGTCATTCTCAGTATATGCAATGTAGAAAAATTAAACGCAAAATTAATAAAAATCATAAAACGGTTAGATATAAATTCTAAAATTATAGTTATGCTGATATGATAGTTGTATTTCTTCATATGTTTTTAATGCTGCAACAATAATGCATTTCTATCAAAATAATGAAGAAATTATTAATGTTTATTTAATAAAATTTATGCTCAAGACTATGTGTACAATTAGGAATATTGTTTAATATTTGAAAGAGAATTTCATAGTCAATTCAGTCACTTGCGATAATGCATACTAAAAGCTGCTATACATGAAATTGGCAAAGTTAAATGTAAAAGCATAATGAATATTTTAAACGATCAAATGGCATTGTCACATTATTTAACACAATATACATGTATTGTTTCATTGTCAAAATTCATTGTATTATCAATATTACATTATATTTAGATACTTTATATTTAAGTACTTTATAAAACCTTTTAATGTATACTGATCAATATAGTGACTGAATTCATTCATCATCAAATTGTAAAGTACCCGAATTTTCTCATAAAGAGCCAAGCGCGGTCAAGATAACCGCCTCTGCAGCCTTGTTGTCCTCTGTTGTTGCAAGAGAGCAAATGCTGAGCACTCAGCTCTGCGTCCTCGGCACCTTTGCTCATGATTGAAAACCTGTCGGTCGCAACGTCGGCAGTGGATATGGCCCAGGACGCGCCGCACCATCCTTGATCATGAACGCTGGATATGTCGCGTGACCAGCGTGTCCTAGAATCGAACTCCCGCGGCAGTGCATCTGGGTCGTAAATGCGTCGCACCGGATTCATTTTGTACACCTACGCGAAAGAAAGCAGTGCATGATAGAACGAAACGTATACTTTTAGACATGACATTGAATAAATAAATATATTAAAAATCTCTTTAACTCTTTAAGCCAACCTATTGTCGAATTAATATGATTTATTTTGTACTTGTAGTTGAGTTGTAGTTAATATATAAAATAATAGAATCTGATGAAGATTGTGTACAAATTAAGCGAGCTTTAAGCGAACGACCCTGGGGCCTCTTTAATCGCGTTTTAATTCCATTTACCTGCATGCACATGACGAATCTCATTTACGATCGAGGAAAAGATATTCGCGTCCTCGGGCAATGAGTTCAGGCATTTTGGAGGACTAAAAGACGCTGTAAGCAACGTCGTTGGGCGCTTTCTTATTCATAAGAGCCCCGCAGCGAAGTACAAAAGATTGCTTTAGAATTTTAACTTTGGTTGCACAAGTCAAAGCAATTGACCTAATCTTACGAGGCAGTATTGCGTCTACAGACAGCCACGTGTTAAGGTTGCCTTATTTTGAATTCATCGAGTATAAAAAGAGAGTTTCGTGCAAGTATCCGCTGTATGAAAACTTTCCATTCCGACAGCAATTTTTAAATTTGTCTTCTTGAATAATTGATTGTCACCTTTAAATGTATATTGCTGTGATCAAAATGTTACAAAGATTCATTATCGCGGAAAATATTTCGTAAATGTCTTATATGCGATAATTTATGGACAGACTTTTGATTATTTAAATCCGATCTCAGTATGATTCTGTCAGAAATGATAATGGAATCATTTCGACACCAAATCGATATTGATTCGACATCGAAATCATCAAATTCGACGACGAAATCATCTAATTCGATTCAACATCAATTTCATTGTCATTTCTCGCTGAGTTCTAAAACACTCACGGATTGTGAGGGATTGAGAGTGCCCAGACGAAGCTCCACACCTTCCCGAAGTGTCCTTCCCCAGAATTCGGAATAATTGCTCGCTTGCCAACCTAGAATTGGCCCTTGCAAATTGAGCTCCTCCATCAACTCCGGCTCGATCAAACAGCGATTCTCCTCGCAGAGCACTTCAGCGCGCTTGCCAAGCGAGGAACATTTGCTGCAATGTAAAACTTACAGAATTCGTACGTATATATTTTATTTACATTAAAATGGAAGAGAAGATATTACCATGTATTACAATTAACTTTCAACGTTTGCCCGTGATAGTATTCTTTTCCTTGGAAAAAGCATACTGAAACAACACACAAGACTTCAAAAACACAAACTTAACGTATCAATAAAAAATATGAACAGTTACATTAAAATCCATCATTATAAACATTTTCAATTATGCAATTTCAATGCCTGAGACTTATTTTTTTCAAATACAAGGTAAGTCTGATTACACAAATACATTACATAAATTATTATAGTAGATTATATAAATTTATATCCATTTAAATTTTATTTTTATAATTGTATTTTACATATACGAACTCCTTAGCTCCTCGGGTGCCGATGTGGTGGTCGGCAGCCCTCTGCAATGGTACCAGTAATCTGGACAGCAGTCTTCTTCGCGAGTTCGGTTGCAAAAATCGTCGCAGTAGCACAATGTCTTAAGGATCGGCGCGCTGCATTCATCTTGTCGTCCTGGGCAGCAACTGCCTTCAGGATACCTCGAGGCACAATACGGTCCCGGTGGCAATCCAGAATAATCCGGGATGCCTCTCACAACGGAAGGTAAGAACACAAAGGCAATGAATACTAAATTTTGGCAGTGTGCAGTCCACATCCTGAAAGGATCATATATTTTATAATGAATATCAAATTTTTTACTAAAATTTTTGTATGTTTTCTTCTTTTAGTATTTATTCTAATTTCTATGTATTTTGTTTTAATTTCATGAGACATATATTCTTATCTAAAATAGTTTAATTTACTCTATGAAACTTCTGAGAGAGAGAGAGAGAGAGAGAGAGAGAGAGAGAGAGAGAGAGAGAGAGAGAGTCCTTTCGATAATTTCGCGCAACTTCGAGAGACACCAATGTCGCATAACCAGGTGTGCTCAAGCATGTAGAGTTCGGTAACAACTGGCAGTTGACAACAATAACGTTGCCAAGAGTTTGCAATGTTGGGACCGGCCGCGAGACGCGTCATCCCGTCTGCTTTGGAACGACTTCAAGGTGTTGGCAGCTTAAATGCCGCATGATTCGTCATGAAACATTCTAGAGAGAATGATGGAAGTCTTTCTAGACTTGTGCAACGTCCTCACGCATAATATTCTATCGAACGAATCATCAATCTCTCTCTTTGACTTCTAATTCTTTTATTTGAGAAATCTGTTTTTTATAGCCTTTTTATAGATTTTATGGCTATAAAAATTTATAGTTTTTTCTCTCATTTTAGAAGTTTGTTTTTTATAACTGAACTTAGTGTATATTTTTTGTATTTAAAGTGAAATAAGTATATGTTTGAAGTTTGATAAAAGAAAAAAGTAACTACATTCTAGTCCAATCTTGTGCATCAATAAAAAACAAACTTTAGAAATTGAGTTGAGTTAGAGTACGAAGTTGCGGGAGTTTAATTTAGATATTCCGCGTTGTATATAAATAGCGATTTAGAGATTTCCTAGATATGTATCTTTGTTCTCTCTCTTTTAAGACCAACTTTTGCGATGTTTAACCCTTAGATTTATTTATTTATTATCTTCTATATCAATCTTATTAAAAATTAATTTTATTAAAAATTGTTTATTCACAGATTAAAGATATAGTTAGAAAATAGTTAAAAATAATAATCTGGAAGCTTAATCAATTTTTATTATAACAATAAAAAGATTTAAATTGAATCCTATTCTCTTTATAATCAATCTCTGTCAATAAGGCAAATATACATCAAGAAATTTAATAATTTATGATTAGATTGAAACAATTCGTTCGTTGATGGCGATTCAACCATTTTCGCGACAACGAGCTTAACATCTGTTACTCGCACGATCGGTCCATGTGATCGTCTATTACGGATCACGTAACTCTGAAACGAGTGTCACCCGAATCAGCTGCATTATAATATTGATGAAATTTACCAGACTGGAACGAGGATTGTGATTTCAGCTTCCTGAGTTCGGACAAGCGCACGCGCTTGCATAACGATACCGATTTTCCAGCCGATGGTACTTAATTAAATTTAAATACGTACATGCACTTCTTTATAAGAAGTCTGATCCAAATCAGACACAAATACACACACAAATAGCAGAATTACACTTTTCAGGAGCAAATTTTTGGTAAAAAGAAATAGGCACAATATTTGCGTGTTGATGAACGAAGTTTAACTCCTTTTAACTTCAACTATCACATTTTATTGAACAAACTAAGACTTTTACGGAATAGACGGTTTTGTAGAAATCTATCTAAAAATTTATCTAGATACAGATCTGAAAATAATTTTATTGAACCATCAAAATAATTATACAGGACTCAAATTGCTAAAATGTCAAAACTTTTTGCAGGATTGCTCATCATGCTTACTCTGTAAATTCTTTGGAGTCTCTCTAAAGAGAACATTGAGTTAGTTTTTAAAAAGAATAGTTTAATTATATTGAGATTTTACTCTTCGGAGTGACATTTCACTCTAAAAGTTTTAGAAAGTAAATTTCTTACGTAATTATTTTGATGGTCCAACAAAATTATTCTCAGATCTGCAGCTAAATTTTTTAGATACTTCAGTAATAATCATTCCTTTTTTCTGTATTCGTAACATTAAAAAAACTTGAAAAAAACTTAGAACTTAGTCGAAGAGTCACAGGACGTGGTGCGCGTTCGCGAAAATTTACATAATCCGTATAACATTCTTATAATACATGAAGCGCAAAATTATTCTACTCAACGATGCGTACTCCAATGTGCTTCTCGTTCTACATGCTTCCGAGAACTGCATCGGCAGCTGCTTCTGTGTGCATATAGACGAAGGATCAAGTGTCTCCGATCGTGTGTATTCTTCACGAAGACGAAGCCTTCATTGAGAAACGGGCAATTAATGCAAATAATCTGTCGCCGCGCGGGGATTCATAAGTGGGTCGTTCGTTTGACCCGTCTTTCCCCGACACGCCACAAAGTGTCCTCAAAGTCATCTTCACGCGCCATCGACGCAATAAACGGTAATTTACGCAAATGACAAATCCAAATAAAAAAATATAAAATATCAGAGAGCTCGTGATCTCCAGGTTCCCGTAACCCCACCTCCTTGTCTGACGAAGAAGAAGAAGTAATATTAATTAGTGTAAGGACAAAAGCAAACAGAAGATCGTAAAACTCTTGTTAAGAACCCGCGAGTTGAATGAAAGAATAATGGGCGCAACGGTGCGTCTACGAGACCGCTGACCCATGACATCAGCGTCGCGCCCTACGAAGGTCACAATAAGGACATCTTCAGACGATAGACGAAAGAATGTTAATTAAAAACAGAGTCTAAATTAAATGAGCTTGCGGCCGACGAATAACCCCGAGATATATCACCGACTCCCCAGTTATAAAAAAAAATAAGTAAATTAGAGAAGAGAAGACTCGATCACACAGGGCTTTGTTTGGTGAATTTATAAATCACCGATATCTGCATGTGAAATCTCAGAGAATTGAATTTGCATTTTGAGGTCCTTCTCCCGCGCAAACGGAGCCTATATTCGTCTAGGAAAGAATAATTTATACGAATTTGAAATATCTAAAAGAAAATAATTTTATTGGGCCACTAAAATAATTACATAAGAATCTCAAGCATGATGCGCAAGTTACATAAAAATTTGACATTCTAGCAACTAGTTTGAGCGTCCTACGTAATTATTTTGATGAACAGAATTTTCTGATCTGAATCTAACCAAATTTTTGAATATTTTAACAAAATTATCCTTTCTGTCTCCATCTCTAATCGTTTGAACGTCGATGTGATAAATAAACACGAGGAAATATAAGATCTATTTTCTATAACTGAACTAGTATACATACTTTATACCTTTGGAACTTCAAATGAAATAGGTATACGTTTGATATTTGTTGAAAACGAGAAAGAAAGTTTTGGTGCAATCTAATGCAGGAATAAAAGAACAGAGCTCTATGGGGAGAACAATTTTGTAAAAATATTTAAAACTTTAGCTAGATACGGATCTAAAAATAATTGTGTTGGGCTATCAAAATAATAAAATCAAAATAATGTAGAAAACTCAAGCATGATAATATCCTGCCAAAAAAGTCTAGTAACTAACTTGAGTACATAATTATTTTGATAGGCCAACACAATTATTTTTAGCTTTGTTTATCTAATTAAATTTTTAAATAATACTACAAAACCATCCTTTTCATGTAGAATTATATCGCATGCGCCGCGCTACCGTTATCAATATGTCATACTCATTGATACGCAAAGTTGTCACTCGCGATGAAGTAATAATAACAGAAATCGGTCATCTACGGCCTCCAGAAGGAACGACCGAAGGAACGACAGAAATTCAATAAAAAGAAGATCAATAATAAATTGTAAAATAAAAAATGCGAATAGCCTTTGAGCGCGAATCATCTGCCCGAGAACTCACGGATTCTGGACGTGGTCCAAAGTTACATTCGCGAATTTGATATATTTCGCGATAATGGGAGAATCGAGTCATCGGACACGTTATTAGATAACTAAACGTTTTACTGCGTGACTACGTTGGCATGCACCGCGACAATTGTTTAATTTCGATGCACTTGAAATAGCGCGTTGAAAGTTCTCCGCTATTTTTATTTTATTGCAATTGGGCCTCTCACGTGTTGACCATGGCACGAGGCTCCAACGAGCTGAAATTGCTAGAATGTTGAGTTACAATAATACAAACTTAATCAAACAACCAGCGAGTAAGTAAAACCGATGAGATTTGAATGGTAATTAATGTAAGTGAAGTTGACACACTGACGGAGACAGACAGTTCGTTTAACCGACCGGTTCGGAGACTGGCGCGACTCCAGGAGTATTTCTAAGGTTATCAAGGTTAAGATACATGGCTGTTCTAGGACCTCTAAATCAATGAGCCTACTTTAAAGTCAGCCTTGAAAATAGTCAATTTAAAGTCCCTTTGCCACAGGGAAGATCACAGATTGTATTTTTTTATTAGCTGCCTCTTTCTCTCCTCCGGCATCTCATAAATTCCCTTCACCAAAAAAGGATTAGATTAGCTTATAACTTATGAGAAGAACAGTAGTCTCCCCGTTTGTTATATTGATTGTCTTCGAAATATTTCCAATTAATTACTAATTGAGTGAAAACAATCTCATTTTAATTTAAAATAAACTTTGCTTTTTGATATATTAGATATTTTCAAATAAGAAAATAATTCTATTTTTAGTTCGAAGCGGATCTTGGTGTCTAATAGCATTCATATGCAAATTTGCAAATACATTTTTCAGTTCCATGAACTGCTCGCCGAATCGGCTTATCGGATTTAAAATGCAATCATAAATTGAGGAGAAATAACATCACAAATTACATCGATCGTCAATTTTTAATAATGATGCTAATAAGCACTATTATGCTATTAAGCAATATTGGAATACAGAACTGAAAAATGTATTTGCAAATTTGAATAAATACCAAAATTTACTTTTATGGAAAATAGGATATCATTTAATTTATTCTTCTCGGTCTAATTTCAACTTAAAATTATTAGATATTTTCATTATTCAGTCAAGGAAATTTGCCCGTTTTTTATTATGTATAAAAATTTACATAAAACAGAATAATTTTATCTCGATCAGACGTTCAATAT